CAGTATTTCCCTACTGCAATGGAATTGAGGTTTGGAACACTTATCTCTTCGAAAGTGGCCATAGCGTCGTCCACTTTCTTTCGCCGTAACCTATCCCTTTTTCTGAGGTGTTTTGATTCGTGCCGAAATCTTTGCGTCTTTGCCAGCGTTGGTTTCGCCACTATCGTGAGACTATGGAAGGCAAGTAAGCTACGCCAATGGCGGATGTTTCTTGCTAATGATTTTTCTCAGCCTTATGAAAACAAAGAGGTCAATCAATGCAATTACACGATATGGAATACTAAACTCATCCGTGATAATTCTTAGCAGTGTTGGTTGTTCTCTGTACCTAGATCAGATACTTCCACTGGTCCACTAAGCCATGTGTTGTGCAAGTAACTGAGAAAGTTCCTGCACGAGTCGTAATGATGCCCTTGGTCCATGGGTGGCGTCTGCATCGCGTCTACAAGGTAGAAGCACTCTCGGGGTAGGAATGGGAGTCCTTTTAGTGTTCTCCACCACCGGACGACGCTTCCGCATCTTCCATTTCCTTTTAGAAGATGGAGGATCCTAAGACTGTTCCGCTTCCTCACCCAGTTCTCACTTCAGTTTATCAAAAATCCAACATAGTCCTCCTCTCGCTTATTTCTTGTAATAGCGAAGAGGTGTGGTACCTGGAATTGAATGCATTTAAATGAGTTCAACTTATAATAAATCTCACTTCATTCTCCTCGATAAACTCCGTGTATTGTGTTGTACACTTGCCGTCTTCTATGCGTACTTCGGATCTGCGGTGGTTTCGTGGGTTCAGCTGATGGATACCGTCCCCAATAAGCGCAGAAAGGACGTTATCAACTGCCCGCTGAAATCACAAAACTATCAATGAATGCATTACGGAAAAGAATGTGCTTATACCTTTTATTCTGTGACATTTAGATATGCATCGCCGGTTCTTGTAACTGCATAAATCTGCTGCCATCAGCAAGATTCCGTAGCTGAGCCGGCATATTTTCTATTCCTACTTCGCGTGTCGTTCTCTTTATGGCCTTAAATCTTAATTTTACATTTAAATATTCTTCAACCATTGAAGATTATATCAGACAATCTAAGCTGCAAAGAGTAGACCTCCTACTCTCATATCCTCCGGACTTGTAATATGCCAGAACAGATAATGTAGTAATGTCTACAATTGGTTAGTATTGTCTGCAATTGGTTGAAATTGCTCAAAAGTTTGAGGCTGCGTTCTCCTCACCTCCCCAGCTCACCTTGATCTTATCCGCAATCCTGAGCCAGTAGTTGAGGGTGGCAGCAAGGTTGCATCCCTGTTCTTGCGGACTTCCTGTAGACACTGTAAATGGAGGCATTTGAAGTATGCACATTACACTGATATTGAGTGCATTACCTCGTAACATCTTATTCGTTGTTCGTTCCACCGGTATACAGACATGTACTAGCATCACTAGATTTTTTAAAAAATCGGTCCCTCACACCTAGATAAGATTAAGTCAGGGTAGTGAAAACTGATTCAAGCAGTAACTCAATAAAAGTCCGGTATGCTTGTTCATTTTCTCACATCAAACGCACCAATAAGCGTCAACTCCATCCCTCGGAGTCTTGCGTTTGAACAGACGTAAGATAGCAAAGAACCTGGAACATTATAGATGACCACACCATGTACACACTTCTGGCTTACCTCTCTTATTCCTTCAAATATGATCTCTTCTCTTCGGAAAAATGCGGAAGCAGTCGCTAGGGGCTGCTGCTGCTGAAACTGCTGCGCGTAAGACTAAAATAATTTTCATCAAAATTTCAAATCTACTGTATTACCTCGTACCTGATCGCTGTTATGTGGTTTTAGAGATGACTGATTCAAACTATGCTGAAGAGGAGGCATTGTATAAACTAAAGTATATAAACTTGCAAGTTCAAAGGTTCAGTTGAATGTAAAAGTTCGTTTCTTCCTTAGATTTCCATACGATGGCTGGGACTGACATACTGTTCATAGGCAGTTGTGTATACAACTTAGATTTTATAAATATAGATAGAGATCATACTCAGAAAAAATTTAGAATCAAACCTCATTTTCAAGCATCTGCTCTTGATGCATTTCACCTGCTTGAAAAAGCATCGCATAATACTAAACTACATATCCAATCAAAAAAATCACGTTAACTCATAAAACTCAAAGTTACCACAGGATACATATATAGCTTTTAAAAATCCACAACTACATAAAACGATACGTACTCTATTTCCGTTTGTCTGCTACAGATGCTACTGACTTAAATACTGCAAGTTCCAACCACTGTAGAGCTGTGGCGGCTGCGTATGAATCTGCTCTCCTTGCGAAAGCTCCATTGGTACAACGTTGGTGTGGGATAATAAGGGAAGATAACATTGAATGACATGGTCAAGAAAAATTATTTTTCCTTCTTCTTATATACACAGCGTCAACCTCGTAATTACTGATCATATCCCCGTTATCATTCTCAGGTTCGAAGACTGACGTTAGCATTTCACACCTCAAATCGGTGGTGGCTATGCAGCCATACACTGCATACATATTAAACTCACACATCGTGTAGTTTAGCTCTTCACATCTCAAGCATTCCCAGATAACTTTTTACTTTCTTTCTTGTTAGTATCGGTTAGCATTTTAGAATCCTTTTTAAATTTTTTCAATATAATCAGTCTACAATGATTCCGAAAATGTCTCTAATTATGCTTCATGTTACTAAACAACTTCAACTAATGCTCCTCAATCTTTGTTTTTCAAATTGATTACTGCGAAACTTATAATTTCTCAATTTAGTTGACATTGCACTTGTTTTCAGGAAATAACCATTACTCATAACTCATTTCATCATTACATATAAATAAATAAATAAATAT